CGAGCCAGTTCCTGCCGCCCCCCCCCCCCTACGCACACCCACACGCACACACCCAGCCCCACCCCCCACCCCCCACCCCCTGCCGCTGCCCCCCTTCCCGCAGAGGCGTGCGTGACCAACACCATTCCCTCCTCCTCAACCTACAAGTTCTCCACTCCCTACAGCGAGGGCGTGCAGAGCTTTGCGGTGTGGAAGCCCTGGCTCGACTCCTCAGACACACAGTGCATCTTCTTCGCAAGGTGCGCGCGTGTGTGTGTGTGTGTTGTGTGTGTGTGTGTGTGTGTGTGTGTGCGGTGTGTGTCTGCGTGTGTGTTGGTGGTCGTGTGTGCAGGCAGGTGAATGTTTTGTTTTGTGTTGGCGGGGTAGGGGCGACGAGCAGGTTGGGACGGAGGGAGGGCAGCTTGGCCCAGCGCAGCAGCGGGGTCCCACCCCGTAGCAGGGCAAGTGCGGCGGGGTGGTGCAGGCTGCTGCCGCCGCCGGCACCGAGTCGGCGCCTCACGCTGTGCCCCGGGCCCGGCACCCCTTTGCCCCACCCGCAGCGTGCAAGGGTATGGCCCAAAGGCTCCTGGATACCCCGCCTTTGTCTACCCTGGCAGCGGGGCCACCTGCGACACCAAGGTTCTGGCGGCGGCCAAGGTGGCTGCCGACGAGAAGGCCGCGGCCGCGGCCGCCGAGGCGGCAGCCGCAGCCGGGGCCAAGCAGGTTGAGGCCGGGGCCGGCGCGCTCGGCGGGGAGCAGCAGCAGCAGCAGCAGCAGCAGCAAGATGGAGCGGCAGCGGCCGCGGCGGCGGCGGCGGGCCCAGCGCCGAAGGAGGAGCCAGCGGGCGGCGAGGCGATGCAGGTGGACAGCCAGCAGGGGCAGGACCGGGGCCAGATGGCACCGCCGCCGCCGCCGCCGGTGCTTCGCCCGTTCCGGGAGCCGGCCAACGGCGCGGTGGCAGGGGTGGCGGAGGTCGGCAGGGATGAGGAGATTGAGGAGGATCCTGACCGCGAGTTTGAGTACAAAGGTGGGTGGGCACCACACACTCGCTGCCGCACCTGCCTGTTTTGGGCTCCCAGCCTGGCGCACTGATGCTTGGCTCCCCGCAGCGCTGCCGTCCACCTGCACACCCTGCCACTTCCTCCCGCCCACCCACCCTCTGCTCCCCGCATCCCTCCTGCTTCCCCGCAGGCGGGCAGGTGCCTCCCCTGGAGGGGCCGCGCGTGATCGACGTCGGCATCCCCGGCTTTGGCTCCAAGCCCGCGCTGTGGCGCCGCTCCTGGCGAGACAAGATCCTGCCCTCTCTGTCCAACTTCAAGCCAGACCTCATCTTCGTCTGCGCGGGTGGGCTGCGCTGGGCTGCAAGCAGGGGATGCGGCTGTGGCTGGGGCGGTCGGTGTTTGTGTGTGTGTGTGTGTGTGTTGAGGGCTGGGGCCTGAGCTGTGGGGGCAGGGCAGAGACGGCAAAGCGGCCTGAGCAGGCAGCCAGTGCCAAGCCCACCCCGCCGTCTGTGCCCCCCGCATCACGCCGCAACCCCTCCCTTCCCTCTGCCCTTGCTCCCCTAGACGCTCGGGCCCGCCTCGCCTCACGCTGTCTGCCCCCTTGCCCGCTGCCGCCATCACGCTCTGCCGCTCCTGACGCTGCTGCCGCCCCGCCTGCCCTTGCCCCCTTGCCGCCCCCACCAGGCTTTGATGCCCACAAGAAGGACGAGATAAACTTCCGGTACATCGGCGTCACGGAGCGGGACTACGAGTGGCTCACTGAGCAGCTGGTGGCGGTGGCCAACAGGTGGGTGCTGGTGTGGGGGTGGTGGCGGAAGTGGTGGTGGGAGGGTGTGTGGGGCTGGGGCGGAGGTGGCCCACAGGTGGGCGCTGGTGTGGGGTTGGCGTTGGTGGTGGTGGTGGGTGCGTGGGTGTGGGTGGCATGGAGCTAGTGAGCTGCCCCGGCTTGTTCCAGGGCGGGCGCAGGCTCGCCGGCGCTGCCGCGGCGCCGGGCTGGCCGTTGCTGCTGCCGCCGTTGCGCGGCGCCCCCGGCCTGCGCCTGTGTGTGCGGGCGAGTGTCTGAGCGGAGGGTCTGAGCCCTCGTTGTCCCGCCTGTCCTGGTGCAGGTGCTGCCAGGGGCGCATCGTGTCTGTGCTGGAGGGAGGGTACCGCTTACAGGCGCGCATGCCCGCCTCAGCGCCAGGGCGCCGGCTGGCGCCGCCCCTCCCTCGCCTGCCGCCGCGGCCTGCTGTGCCCCACCCTTTGGAAGCTTGGAGCACCTGCTCAGGCCGTGTTGTCGCGCCCCGCCCCCCGTCCCGCCGCTCACCTCCCTCTCTCCCCGTGCCGCTCACCTCCCTCGCCCCTCTCTCCCCGCGCAGGGCGGCATCATGTCTGCGTTTGCTCGCAGCGTGGCGGCGCACGTCAAGGCACTGGCGGAGCCCAACGCAACGGTGTGGGACCCGCGGGAGGCTAAGGTGTGTGTGCCCGGGCGGGGCGGGGCTGCTGCAAGCCTCCGGCGGGCGTGCTGGACCCTCCTGGGGCCTCACCCGTAGCGTTTGGATGTGGCATTGTGAGACGGTTGCCCTGTCCGGCCCCAGGCCTGCGCGCTGCCTTGCAGCCAACGCTGCGCTGCTTGTGCGCGCAGGCGGAGCGGGAGCACGAGAAGAAGGTGCGTGCGGAGCTGGAGGCCAAGAAGGCCGAGGCGGCGCACCAGAAGGCGGCGGCGCGGGAGGCGTACGTCAAAGCGCGCCTGGCGGCAGTCGCGGCGGCGGCCGCAGCCCCCGCAGCCCCTGCTGGCACCGCGCCGGCAGCTGCCGGCACCTCGGCGCCGGCCGCCAGCCCGCCAACGGCGCCGGCGCCGGCGCCGGCGCCGGCGCCGGCCGCGGGCGCCGAGGAGGCGGAGGATGGCGGCACCCGGCGGAAGCGGCGGCGCGGCGCCGGCAGCGGCGTGGATTATGTGGAGCTGAACAGGCAGCTGGAGGAGGAGGCGGCGGCGCGGCGAGCAGCAGGAGGCAGCGGCGGCGGGTAGCGGCTGTGCGCTGGGGCCGGCGCGCGCTCTTGGCACGCCCGCCAGTGCTGTGATGCAGGGGGCTCCTAGCATGTGCTTGCCCACGTATACTTCTTCTGTATGTGTAATTCTGGTCGCTGTGTGGCTCTCTGGGGCTGCCGTGGGTAACAAGAGGTTGGGGAAGGGAGCTCTGGCCTGGGTGGTGGTGAGGAGGCGGGCCGCCACCTCACGTGAACACTGCTTGCACGCCCCCCCTCGCACACCTCCACTTGTTCAGGGTTGGTGATCGCCATCTGGCCATCCGCATCTGACTCTGTCCCGCGGGAGGCCCCGCTGCCACCTGTCCCTTTGCCGAAAGCCCCGCCCCAACGCCTTTCATCGGCCGGTTGCAGAGGCTGATTGACCATTCGTCTACACCATATTTGGTGCTGCCGCCCTGCCGCTGACCCACCAGGGCCACAATGTTCGGCACATGTGGGGGCTTGCGACTCCTGGTGTTGATCGCCGCTGCGCTAGGCTGGTCAGCACCATGTGAAGCAGCCACAGGTGCGCTGCCACGCGCCCGCTGGTCGGGCCTCTGCCCCTCGCCCGCATGCACTGCCGGCGGCGGCGGCGGCATGCGCTGTAGCGGCAGCGAGGACTGCACGGCCCACCCCGACCCGTTTGGCTGCGTGCAGTGACTGGACTGATCAAGCAGCGCAGCGCCATCACAAATTGGGAAGCATTTAGCCGGGCAAACAACATCAGCGGCTGGAAGCTTGCGGTGCCGCCCTGCCAGTGGACCGGCGTAGGGTGCAACGCAGACGGCGCCATCACGAGCCTGTAAGCCCCCCGCCCCGCCGCAAAAACACGCGCCGCTGGCTGACGTATTACTCGTTGGCGCCAGCCGGGCATGCACACCTGATGCTGCTGGCCGTGCTGTGTACACGCCGCGCCGCACCGCTGGCGGCAGCCATGTGCCGCACGCTTGTGCACGCAAAGGAGCTAAGCGGCATCTGGATGGTGCCCCTGCAGCGACCTGGGTTGTGTGGACGAGGTGGAGGGCTTGTGCGCTGTGCTGGCTGAGGGCTCGCTGGCGCCTGAGCTGGTCAATGTTGGGTGGGTGCCGGCTGCTGCCGCCGCCGCCGCCGCTGTTCCTCCCTGCACTGCTGCCGCTGCTTCCGCCGCCGTCGCCACTGCGAGAACAGCAAGCTGCAGCGTTTTGGCTTCGGGCCCTGCCACTGGAACGATTAGATAGAGTCGTGAGCTGTGGCTTGGCCCATGCTGGGTTGCGGCTGCGAGGGACCTGCTGGTGACCACCACGGCTGGTGCGCATGCTGCTGTGCAGAACGCTGGAGAGTATTTTCCTGCAGGGCCAGACACTGACCGGTGAGTCACTCATTTCCCTGACCTTGGAGGACAGCTGCGCTGCAGCTGTTTCACAGCTGCTGCTGTGAAGGCATGCCCTGCCGGTGCTGGTCAGCACTGCTGCTGCTGTTTGCCTGCCCGGCCGCCAAAGCGCTGCCGTGCTGACTCGATGCAGGCCCGCTGCCAGAGGCATGGGGAGCTGCTGGCGCATTTGCTAGGCTGGCATACCTGTAAGCCGCTGCCTGCACTCGCTGCCCTGCTCCGACTTCAACAGCGTGACCCTGCAGGCGGCTGAATGCCACACGCCGTGCAATGGGCTGCCGCCTCGCTGTCCCCTCATCTTCCCTTCCCCTCTCCTCCTCCCTGCTTGCAGTTCCCTTGCAAACAATGACCTGACAGGTGGGTGTGCTGTTGCTGATGGAGGCGGCAAAGGGCAATCGGTTGTCGGGGCGATGGATGCGCTGCGTTACTGCCTGCCTCCCACAGTCTTCAGCGCTGCCACCCAATGCCTAGCCTGCCAGCGTTGCTCCTTGCTCGGTGCAGGCTCGATCCCGGCCTCATGGGGTGGCAAGGATGCTTTGGCAGCTCTGGAGCTTATTCAGCTGAGCGGCAACAAGCTGTGTGGCGATGTGCCCGCGCCGCTGCAGCCAAAGCTGGTGAGTGGTCGGGCGGGCCAGTGGGCGGGGCAGTTCTGGGAGGCTTTGGCTACCATAGGAGAACCTCCTTATGTCCGGTTCCCGACTGCCATGACCCAGGGATGGCACTCTGCTGGACCCACCAATCCCCCACTCTTGTTGCTGTCATGCAGGAGTGTGCGGATGGCGACGACAGCTGCTCCGATGGCCAGCTGCCTGCCTGCTCCACCACAGTGACGGCGCTGGCGGCAGATGGGGAAGAGGAGGGGAGCAGCAAGCTGGAGGAGCAGCCGGAGGCGGCCGCCGACTGCCCCCCTGGCGACATCCAGGACGTTCCCAGGTGCGGAGGGCAGGAGCGAGCAGGGGTTGGACGGCCCCTCTGTGCGCTGCCTGCCATGCTCCCTGGGTGCTGGTTTGTTATCCAGCTTTCCCTCCAAAGCCATGCGCTCGAAGGCGTGTGGCTTTTCCTGCCTGCCTGCCTGCCTGCCTACCTGCCTGCTGCGTCCCTGCCTGGCCTGCAGCTGGGCCAAGAAGTACAATGCCAGGATTGCGGCCAAGGAGGCGGCGCAGGAGCAGGCAGCCAACAACAAGGCACTGGTGGCGGAGGCCAACGAGAGCGGGGAGCGGTGAGTGGCGGCGCTTTGCGCCTGCGGGGAGGCACAGGGACCCCGGGGGGCTGCGCTGTGGATGGTGAGACACGCGGGCTGGCTGCGGCCGACACGGCTGCCACGATTCAGCAGCAGTGTGGCTGCTGCTTCACGAGGTGGCCCGGCCGCTGGCCGTTTAGCCAACCACGATACTGGTGGTATTTTATGGTACTGCAGGTATGATTTCGTGATGTACGGCGACTCCATCACGTGGCGGGTATCCGAGAACATGGGCGTGTGGGACCGGTATCTGGGGTCGCTGGGTGGCCCCTCCGCCCCGCTGGGCATCATCTTCAACCAGGTCTCAGACCTGGCCTATCGCATCATGAATGGAGACGAGCGCTTTGACCTGGCCCCCAAGGCCGTGGTGCGTATAGCCGGGGAGGCGCTGGCTGGAGGGTGGGTGTGGCGGCATGCTGAGTGCGCAGCTTCAGCAGACATGTGGGAGCTGGGAGGGCCATGGCAGCGGGGCTGGGGCACAGCGGCACGGGAGTGCTGTGCCCGCCCATCTCCCCCAGGTGGCGCCCATTTGCCGCACGCCTCCCACCTCGGTGCCTTGCTGGCCTGGCCCCGGCCCCTTCCCACCACACACAGGCGCTGCTGATCGGCGTGAACAACCTGGAGCGCGGGCCGCAGCCGGCGGAGCAGCTAGAGGAGCTGGTGAAGTGGCTGCAGGCCGCCTGGCCGAGCACCCGGCTCATCCTGCTCAATCTGCTGCCCACGGTGTTTGAGGTGGAGGCTCCGTACCTGGACATCACGGGCACCAACAAAAAGTACCAGCAGATCGCTGAGGAGGTGAGGGGCACAGCCCGGGGCCGCTTCCCAGCCAGCCGGCCCGCCTGCCGCTGGCCCCCAGGCCAGCCCGCCTGCCCGCCGACGCGAGCCTGCCCGCCTCCCGCCTGCCCGCAGACCGGCATCGAGTGGTCCACCTGCGGCTCCGACATCGACCCCGCAGACGAGGCGCAGCTGTACGACGGCATCCACCCCGGACCCAAGGGCGTGGACATCCTGCTCAGCTGCCTGGGCCCGCAGGTGGAGGCCGCGGTGGCGGCCTTCGAGTGCTGAGTGGTTGCAGTTGGATGGCCGAGAGCAGCTCCGTACCACGTGTTAGGCTGGTAGGTAAGGTTAGCTGTTTGACCGTTGACTGACCGATGGGGCCATGTGACCCACCGCGACCCGCCAGGAGCACCCGCCAGAGCGATGGCCGTCCCGCCGCCGACGCGATTTCATCATTTTTGAAACCAAACCAAAGCCTCACCAATTTGTTTCCCTTCCTGCACAGCTTTACCCCTGCTGCAAAGCCCATCTATACTTCCTGTCCTTTATTATGCCTATCGTGCACAGCCCCTGACTCCCAATGAACGCAAATCCTCTTGATACGCGGTAATCCTCCCCAGCAGCCATGCACATGTGCCGGCCAGGCTGGCTTGTATCTACCTCCATCCCCAACCGTGCAGCGTCTTGAGACTTTACAGCAAGGGTCAGCCAAAGTGCAGGATCGGTCTGACACCCTCAAGCACCTCAGCGTGGCGCAGCATAGACAGCGTGGCGCAGCATGTATTCTGAAATGGCCGCAGGACCTTTGGTCATGGACAATGAATGCTTTGTTATTACTCGTTGCAGGTCCATCTGAACGCGCCATTCCAATTATCCTATTGCCCAATAGCCTCTTTCCTTCAAACATCCCCTGAGAGAGCTGTTTCCCGCTTGCAATAATTGCTGGGTAATTAGTGGAGCCGTTTGAGGCGGTCAGCGGGCCGCCTCGCTCACTCCGGCACCATCGCGTGGGCGGAGAGCCAGCCGACTCCCAGCCCCGTTCCCGCTGCTTCAGAGCGACTCAGACGTCATATAGGCTGGGCTACGCCCGCTGATTGAGCCTCCCCTCGGCCCCAAGCGCAGCCCTGATCACCGACTCTGCGGGAACTGCTTCGCCTAGCTCTCCCCGAGGGGGCATTGCACCACACAACGGAGAAATGGGCGGGGAGGCCGGAATTCAGCGAGCGGGGAGAGTGCTGGGCTGTGCAGGGCCCGCGCCTGCCCTCCCCCATCGTGAGCCATTGCGCCCGGGGAGTGGCTCAAAATGCTCGGCTAATTGTGCCTGAGAGTCAGGAGGAGGTCCAGGCCCGCACGCTGCGCCTACAGAAACTGCCGCCCAATTGGTAATAGCACAATTGGAATGGCGCGTTCAGATGGACCTGCAACGAGTAATAAACTCATTACATCATCGCATTGTGGCTCATCACATGTCACCTGACCATGGCACGCAGAAACCGAGGGGAAGTGTTTCGCAAGAGCGAAGAGAAATCAAGAGACGTGATCAGCCAGTGGCTGCCAGAGGTGTCAATCGTGCAGAGGCCTTCCGCTGCCATGTTTTGGCAAACCTGGCTGAGGGTTCTGCCGCCCATGTCCTCCAGCGTCATCCTAACCCTGCAGCATATGCTTCTTCTTCACTGTTGGGGAAAGCTGCTGGGCGAACAGAGCAGAGCTAGAGCAGCGGCCAGATGCCGCGCGATTGTGCACACTACTAGGATCGGCAGCCGAGGTGGCTGCAGCGGGCGCACCCGCCATTCATCGCCTTCATCTTGTTGCCTAGCTGGCCGCCATCGATGGGCAAGCCGCGGGTGAGCTGAAGGCTCAAGCAACTCGCCACCCAGTTGACTTTCAGCCTGCACCAGGGAGGGCACTGAGCTTTGACATCGTGGCCTCGACCTCCTGCCTCGCAAAAGGTGTCAATGTCTTGTTGGTCTTACCTCAAGGGCACCTTGGCCGCGCCCGCACGCGCTGATGCTGGTGCTGGCGGCTGCCTGGCTGGGGCTGCAATGCTTGGTTGGCAGGCTGCTGGCTGGCAGGCAGTTGGCCGATCCGCGACTGGCGTGCACGGTTGCGGCTGGCGGTCGAGCTTTGCTGGTTGATGGGTGGCCACCTGCTTGGTGCCCAGCCCGTCTGCCAGCCGCGGGCGCTTTGCTGAAGCCTGGACAGGGTTGTCTTCATTGAAGCGCTGCGAGTCGGCCGCCTGCCTCTTCCCTGCCACCAGCAGGCTGGGTTGTTTGTCCCGCTGCCAGTGCAGCCGATAGCCGTCGGCGCGCAGGGACGGCAGGGAGAGAGCCCGTTGCAGGAAGTCGGTGAAGCGGATGCCGAGCACAGCCGGAGCGGTCCAGCTGCTGCCAGACAGCGCATGCATGCGGCTGGCCAGCCACTCAAGCGAGACCTGTTGCCAGCGCCGCCCATCGGGCGCCTCCAAAGCCTTAAGAAGCAAGTCCACAGCCCTGCAGGCGTGCATGTGGATGGGCATCGGCACTCTGCGTTGCATGAAAACCGTGCAGCCCACATGCAGCGCGCCTGCACTCACTCGATGAACAGAGAAGCGTCTGCTGGCGGGGCATCCCGCGGCGCTGCCTGTGAAGTCTGTCTTGGCTGCGCCTGCTGCGACTGTGGCTGATCCTCTGGTTTTGGTAGTACTGGCGGGGAAAACGGCACATCGGCCGAATCCAGAAACTCCATTGTTTGCTGGGCAACAAAAAGAAGGGGAGAGGGGCACATGGTTGGCTGCAGCAATGTGCGCGAAACTGCAGCAGGGGAGCAGGAGCAGCGCCGCAACGCAGCAGCACGTGCTGCGTTGTGCTGGCCGTGCCCACGCACCGTGACCCCAGCCGGTGCGACCAGCCCATACTCCAAGTTTGCCGGCCCGTGCTGCCGCCACCAGTCCTCCAGGTTGGCTGCCCAGTCTCGAGCCACCTTGAGGCGCCAGGCCGCCCTGGCAGTCTGCACAGATGGGCAGGCTCGGCATGGGAAAACGACTGTGACAAAGAACAGATTCCAGCCACCTGACAACCAACTGACTAGCGGGAGCCTCAATGCCACCCCCAGCCCACCTGAGCCAGGTCCCAGCCCTTGAAGCCTTCGGCAGCCATCCGCGACTCGAGAGCAGCACGCTCCGCCCGCCCGCCGCCACTCTCATACGCCTCGCCCGCCGCCAGGCTGCTGGTGCGGGAGATCTGGTGAGGCAGCGCATAGGGCTTCAGACCCTGCGGCGCATGCTGCACGCAGCAAACAGGCAGGAAGGAAGGAACAATGGATGGTCTGGCTGTGGCATGACCAGGCTCTGCGCCGCCGCATTCCTGTCGCTCATCACCTGCGTCTACCCACGCCTGCCCACCTGCAGGTGCAGCCGCAGCTCGCTGCCGCCGTCTGCCGCCGCTGCCGCCTCCACCGCACCCACGCGGCACAGCTGGTAGCGAGCGCCGTGCCGGATGCGCACCACTGCGCCCTCCAGGAGGCTGGCGTGCGGCCTGTCCTCGCGCCCACGTAGCTCTGCACCGCAAGGAAGCTAGCGGGACGTGGCTCCTGCACTTGCTTCACACCCCTTTCCAACATGCATGCCTCCCCAGAAGACAGGCATCCACTCGAAAAAAAAACCATCGCCCCAAACAGGAATGGCAGCAATACCGCTGAAGCGGCAGCTACGACCGCTGCGGCGGCAGCGACGGCAGCTACGGCACGGCGCACCTCGCAGGCGAGCCTCCAGCGGCAGCAGCCTCGCCATGGCAGCTTCGCTGAGGAAGAGCTCGCATAGGTTCTTGCGCGTCAGCAGTGCCAGGCGCTGGCAGCCAGCAGGGACCGGCTGTGACAGGCGGTGCTGCACCCCCCCAACAACTGGCTGCACCTCCGCAGCAACTGGCGGCGGCGGCGGCTCATTGTTCACGGCGACGAGCATGCCGGGACACAATTGAGCCACGTGGGATCGGTGCCCGAGGGCTGGATGCTGTCTTGAACGCACAGAGGGCAAGGCACTCGTGGGGGTGGGCAGAGGAGCCGAAAGCGAGCGTCACAGGTCCCCCCGGGACAGCCCTGAACAAGCCTCGCCCCAAAAGTTGCATCCCAGAAGCCTGAAATGCAGCATAATCGCCGAACGCAAGCTGGAAGCGAGCACAGCACGCAGCAGCGATGCCCCAAAACGATGGAGTGCGATGTATCTGCCAGCACCACGCAGACATCTCGCAGGCAGGCTGCAGCAAGGGTGGAGTGTGCCCCCACGTCCCTGCATCAAACCCTGCGCATCAAACACTGCGGCCCCCCTGCCTTGGAACACGCCCCAAGGCGCGATCACCGCCGGCCAGCGGTTAGCCAGCAGTTGCCCCGGCATGTTCGCGACCGAGCGGCAGCCCGCGCCGCCGCCGGCCTGGCAGCGGCAGGCGTCGCCGCCCCAGGGTGACCCCGATGTGGTGTGCCTCTTGAGCGACGGCGACGACGAACAGGAGGAGTATGAAGATGAGGAGGCAGAGCGGCAGCAGGAGGGGGAGGGACAGCAGGAGGCGCCGCCGCAGGCGCAGCCGCCTGCAGCAGAATGCAACGCGGCCGGTGACGGCGAGGAGCCGGGGCCGGAGAGTGTCCAGTCGCCCTGGCTGGCCTTCCCATCGCTGGCGTGGAGCAAGGGGCGGGAGCCCACGTGCGGAGTGGGCATCCAAGTGAGTGCTGCACTGGGCTGCGGCGCTCCGCCTGCCTGTGGCCGCCCCGTCTCACCCGCCCGGCTCGTCTGTCTGTGCGTGCAGGTGCACAAGAAGCACCCGGGCTTTGTGGTCCAGATCCCGGCGAGTGGCTCAGCTGGATGGCGTGCGGGGACAGCGCTGGCTGGTGTGCGGGGCCTGGGTGGCATTACGTGGGCCGTGTGGCGAGTGGATCTGGGTGGGATGGCCGCCTGCCCTGCAGGTTCCTGCGCAGAGCACCGGCAACGTGGTCCCCGCCAAGGTGGGCGTGTTCAGCAGCAGGGAGCATGCGGCGCGGGCGCGGGACGTCGTCGCCATCTGGCGCATCGTGCACAGCGTGTGCAACGCCACCTGGGAGACTGCCAAGGTGAAGGGCTGGGCTGTGCCTCGCCCGGCCGTTGAGCTTCCCTGAGGTGCTGCCTCGGGGTGCGGCGCCTCGCCAGGGCCCTTCAACCTGGACGCGCCCCTGGTGGCTGGCTGACTGTTGCCTGCCAACCGCCCCTGCGTTGCAGCTGTGCTACCCAGACGCCGGTTACCGGCAGGATGCGGGCCTGCGGGCGGCGGTGAAGGCTGCGCCCACCTGGCAGGAGCTGCGCAGCCTGATGAAGGCCACCTTCCCGCCGCCTGCCAGGATCCCGGGGGCCCGCCAGCGCAGCCGCTCGCCGCCACCACGCGCAGCACGCCGGGCGGGGCAGGCTTCTGCGCTGGGGGTGACCAAGCGGATCAGCGCATCCATCCTGCGGTTCTGGCGGCTGTGCTTCACAGGTGGGCAGGGCGCTGGCAGGCCGCAGCTGCGGGGAAGGCGCCCTCTGCTGTTTGCCCCGTGAGGACAGCCTGGCAGTGTGCACCTGGGACAAGCACGTGCCTGTGTGGTGTGCCCAATCTGCAGTTGAAGACCTGCGCCAGCTGGGCTGGGAGGGCAGCGCTGCGGCCCAGGAATCGCCCACCCTGATGGCTGCTCCAGCAGCCGCTGCATCGGAAAGCGGCGGCAGCGGCGGCGGCAGCGGTGCAGGGAATGGGGGCGCTGCGCCTGGCTGGACAGGGAGCCTCGAGCTGGGGAAGTTTGGGCGCGACGGCGCTCTGGCGAAGGTGAGCACAGGGCCTTTGGGGCCGAGCCTCCTGCTGCTCCCGCTGCCGCCGGGTTCGTACGTCTGCCGCCAGGTTCGTGACCCGCGTGCCTCATCATTCTGTGCTGCAGACCACGCATGTGAAGGTGCTGGTGGACCGGCTGGGGCTGGAGCTCGGCGACACGCTGCACCTGCGCCCGCGCACTTGCCCCAAAAGCGATGACAGCCAGCCCGGCATCATACCTGTGGAGGTCAGCTTGACCAAGCAGCCGGCACAGGACCCGCAGCAGCCCCCGCAGCAGCAGCAGCAGCAGCGGCAGCAGGGGGCAGCAGGCGCTGCAGCAGCTGCGCCGCCGCCCGCCGCGCCCAGCCCCAAGGCCTGCGCCAACTGTGGGGCGACACAGACGTGTGCGTGGATGCGCAACCCTGCCGATCGCAGCCAGCACCTGTGCGCCGCGTGCCACCAGTATAGCAGGAGACACAACGGCCAGGTGCGGCCGCAAGCGCTGTGGAGCAAGCTGCCCGCCAAGCGCAGTGCAGAGGAGGCGGTGGACCTGCCGCAGCCTCCACACCCTGAGCAGCAGCAGCCTGCCAAGCAGCCCAAGCTGCAGCAGGCGGCAGCGGCGGTGAAGCAGGAGCAGCCGGCAGCGGAGGTGCCAGTTGCCACGCCGGCAGGCAAGCAGCCGGCCCCCGTGGCTGAGCCAGCCTCAGGCGGACCCTCCAGCGCAGCCGCAGGCGCTGCCCCGCCTCCAGCCACAGCCACGAGCAGCAGTCTGCTGGCCCCTGATGCCGACTGGAGCCTGGTCTACGCCCGGCTGAATGAGCTGCTGCACGAGTGCGGCGTGCCCGACGAGGCTGCCCAGGTGAGCGTCAGCAGGCAGACAGACCACACGTTCTGTTCGGCGCTGTGTGCACAAGCGCACGCCGGGCGCGCCGCTTGCGTGCCTGCCTTGCTCTGCCACCCTGCCCTGCCGCTAGGCACCAGCTGCTACCCAACGCACCCATGCCGCCACGCCCACCTGCCTGCACTTGCCCCTGCTTCTGCAGGACTTCAAGCTTCTGCTGCTGAGCAAGTCGGAGGCGGTGCGGCGCAGTCACTTTGTCGAGGTGCAGGCGTGCGCTGCCGCGGGGAAGCCGGCGCTGGCGCAGCGCTGGGTGGCGTGCACGCTGGGCCAGCAGCAGGGGCAGCGGCAGGGCTAGGCACAGCTGCGGCATGGAGGATGGCCACCCTCTGATGGCCTCTGGTGGCGCCCCTGCCTGGCGTCTGTACAGCATTTGACTGCAACCTGTGTACTTCTGTGTAGTTTATGTGCCTCCCGCGTGCAAAATTGACTGAACATAAAGTCCTCTATGGTGCATCCTCATCAGGCAAAAGGACTGCGCCCGGCGGGCCGTGCCGTGCGCGCTTGGCGCGCCCGCCACCTGGCAGCGAGGGTTGCGGAGCTGTCGTATCCATCACCTAGCACATATTAAACAGGGATCTCGGCAGAAAGGGCCTCTCTGTCGACACACCCATCTCCCGGTTGAACAACATGCGGGGCCTCATGCAGGATGCGCCTCTGGTGACCACCAGCATCCTGGACTATGCGGCCAAGTGGCACGGCGAAGCTGAGATAGTTTCCATGACTGTGGAAGGCCAGGTGGAGAAGAGCAACTGGCGGCAGGTTGCGGACCGCTCCAAGCTCTGCGCCCTGGCCCTCAAGCGGCTGGGAGTCAGGTGCGCCTGGGCGTGCTGGATGCGGGCGATGCGGCTGCCAAGGGGTGCGCCACAAAAGTGCAGGACGCCCACCAGCATCCGCCCACCCGCCGCCGCCGCAGGCCGGGCGACCGCGTGGCGACGCTGGCTTTCAACACTGTGCGCCACGTTGAGGCGTGGTATGGCATCATGGGCATCGGGGCGGTGTGCCACACCCTCAACCCGCGCCTGTTTGAGGACGACCTCGCCTACATCATCAACCATGCCCAGGACAGCATCATCCTTGCAGACACCACCTTTGTGCGCCTGCTGGAAGCGCTGCACCCGCGCATCCGCGGCTGCGTCAAGCACATCGTCTTCCTGACAGGCACGTGCGGGGCAACTGAGTGGGGGCAATCATACGGGAGCTGGGTGGCGGCAGATGGGGATTGGCGGGCCTTGTTCCAAGCGCAGGCAGGCGCTTGCTGCGGAGCAGGCTTGCCGCCACTGAGAGCGTGCCGCCGTTGCCTGTGCTGCCGCAGATGAGCGGCACATGCCCAAGCAGACGCGGCTGCAGGGGACGCTGTGCTATGAGGAGCTGCTAGAGGAGGAGGCAAGGAGGCGCTGCTGCTGCTGTCAGCTGCTTCTAGCCGCACCACACGCACGATGGTTTGTGTATGCTGTGCTTGTCGTGTCTGCATGCCAGTGCATGCCAGTGCACAGCGAGCAAACCCCCGCCTGCTGCCCGGCGTTTGCCTGCCTGCTCCCCGGGCTGCCTGCAGTCGGCCAACCTGGAGAGGTTCAGGTGGGAGGTGCGGGACGAGTTCCAGGCGTGCGGGCTGTGCTACACCAGCGGCACCACGGGCGTGCCCAAGGTCGGTGCCGCCTGTGCCAGCAGGATGTGGAGTGGATGCCTGATCTGCCCGAACACCTACACCGCATTGCCGCACGCCACCCCCCCTCCCAGCCGCGCAGCCCGAATCCCAGCACTGCTCCCGCTCTGCTCCTCTGCGACCTGGTCCCCCGACCCCTTGGCTGCCCTTCCGCAGGGCGTGCTGTACAGCCACCGCAGCAACTACCTGCATGCAATGATCATTGCCATGCCCGACACGCTGGACCTGCGGGCCGGCAGCAGCGTGCTCATGGTGGTGCCCATGTTCCACGCCAACAGCTGGGGCCTGGTGTTTGCAGCGCCTATGGTAGGCGCAAGCCTCGTGCTGCCAGGTGCGCGCCTGGGCCTATCTTGTCAGTCCATCTAGTCGCAGCCTATCTAGCGGTGATCGCCAGCATAGGGTCGAGCGGCGGCGGCGGCCGCTCGCTGGCGGGCGCAGCCGGCGGCCCCGTGCCTCCTCCTTGCCACGAAGCCGCTCCTGGGCCAGCCTGCCTGCCATAACGCTGGGTTCCACTGTGCCTCATGCAGGGCCGTTTCTGGACGGCGCCAGCACTTACAAGCTTATGGAGCAGCAGCGCGTGACACACACGGCGGTGAGCGGGCAGCGTGCAGCGCCGCCGGCAGCAGCCACCTGGCCAGCCGCTCTGCTCGCTCCAGCAGACTACACCGCCTATGGCGGTCACTGCCGGGCCTGTGCCTTCGCTTTGTCGCGTGCCTTCCCTATGAACATGCCTGCGTGCCTGCCTATGCCTACCTGGTTGCCCCCCGCCTGCCTCGCTCCGTGTGCAGGGCGTGCCCACGGTGTGGCTGGGCCTGCAGGAGCACATGGAGCGGCAGCAGCTGCGCCTCTCCTCCCTGAAGATGCTGGCTGTGGGCGGCGCTGCCTGCCCCAGGTGCGTGGGTGGCTGGGCGAGTAGGCTGTAGGCTCCCCAGCCTGCCTCGTGCCGGCGGCGGCCGGGAAGCGAGGCAGGTGCCTGCTGGCCTTCTGCCATCCAGGTGTCTGCTGCCGTCGTGCTGGCAGTCGCTTGCTGCTCATGGGCCAAGCATCGAGGGCACCTTCCGCCGTCGACGGTCTGTGCTGGCGGCTTTGCCTCTTGCCTGCAGGCGCATTATTGAGTTTTTCGAGGGGCAGGGCGTGGAGGTGCGGCAGCTGTGGGGCATGACCGAGCTCAGCCCAGCGGGCACGGTCGGCACCATCAAGGCGAGTGGCGCTTTTGCCTCCGCGAGGGAATTGCACGCCGCACCCAAACCCACTGCCGTGCCTGTAGCTGCCATGCATCCCCTTTGCGTGGCATCTCGCCTGGTTTGTGACGCCACCACCACCAGACCACCACGCACACCTTCCGCACCCCCGTCTGCAGGCCAGCCTTACCGGCCTGGATGGCGAGGGCCTGGTGCAGCTGAAGCTGAAGCAGGGGCGGCCGCACGTGTTTTTGGACATGCGCATAGTGGACGACCAGGGCCAGGAGCTGCCCTGGGACGGCAAGGCCTTTGGCAACCTGCAGGCAAGCAGAGCGGCAGCACAGCGACATGCCTGCCCCTTGTGTCTGCACGTGTTCCTGCTTCTGGGGCATGCAGGGCTCAACAGGCCCACCAGCAATCGGCCGTGTGTGAGACAGAGACAGGCAGCAGCGGAGCGTGGCAGGCTCCCGACGTCGTCAAGTTGAGCCGGCTTGTCCTGCCTGCCCACACCGCAGGTGCGGGGCCCCACCACGCTCAGCCGCTACTACAACAGCGACGCGGCGGCGGCAGATGAGGAGGGCTGGTTTGACACCGGGGATGTGGCCACCATCGACTCCTACGGTTATATGCAGGTGTGTGCTGCTGGAGGGAGCTGCTACAATGTAGAGGGAGCTGCTGCAATGTGCTGCATGCCCTGGAGCCTCGAGTTTTGCCTGCACCCGCAGGTGGAAAGTGTGGGCAGCGGAACCGGCGGTTCACACTTATAGCAGGAAGCGATCTTCTGGCCCCTGCTGGCCCGTGCTGCTCATGTGCTGCTGCATGCAGATCACAGACCGGAGCAAGGATGTGATCAAGAGTGGGGGGGAGTGGATTTCCAGCCTGGAGATTGAGAATGTGGCGGTGGGGCACCCGCAGGTGGCAGGTGAGGCGCCGAACAAGCAGTGCAGGGGCGGGCGACGCCGGTTATACGCTTGCCACGCCAACTGGCAGCGCTGTTATGCACCTCTGCCATCTTTGAATTCACGGCCCTTGCGCCTGTCTTTCTTGACTGCGTGCCAAGCTGCGCTGGCAGCCACAGCCCCTCACCTGCTCAATCTGCTGCGTTGCAGAGGCCGCGGTCATCGCAATCCCAGACGCCAAGTGGGGCGAGCGCCCGCTGCTGGTGGTAGCGCCCAAGGAGGGGCAGGTGCGCCCAATACTAATCGTGGTTGTGCAGCCCTGCACACTGTGCTGTCAACTCACACGATGCCCTGCCTGCTGCTGGGAGCGCTCGATCTATGCCTGGTGGTACCGTCGATCTGCAGATCCCCAGCCGTGAGGACATCCTGGGCTTCTTGGAGGGCAAGATTGCAAAGTGGTGGATGCCCGACGATGTGGTGTTCGTGAAGGGTGCGTGCTGTCTATGTTGATTGTTAGGTTGGCTGGCTGCATGAATGAGGCACAGCAGAGCACAGCTTTACTTGCCGCTTTGCCACTTCCTCGCTCTGCCCTGCAGAGATCCCACACACCGCCACTGGAAAGATCAGCAAGCTGACGCTGCGCAAGCAGTTTGCAGAGGCCAAGCCGGCGCGCGCGCGGCTGTGAGGCGCACTTTCAGAGCACGCCAATGAATGAGACAGACCAGTTTTGTTGCCCTGCATCTATTACCCTTGCCTCCCACAGTTACCTGTTTGTACTCCTCTGGGGGCACCCTTCATTGCCATGGTGCCAAGTTTTGCTGGACATCAGTTGCAACAGCAAGCTGTCCCTAAATGCTGCGCGGTTTCAGGAGCAAGGGCGAGCGAAAGCAGTCAGCCCAGTCGAAGAAGTCAGTCTGTTCAGGTCCAAGTCGATACAAGCATGCACAGCAAAACAAAAACAGGAGCTGCTGCTATTGTCGTGACATGCCGCCGCTGCTACTGTTGCTGCTGCTGCTGCTGCTGCTGCTGCTGTGCGGCGTGGGTGGCAGGGCGAGCTTGACGCCCTTCTGCGCCGCCTGCCGCTCCAGCTCCGCCCGCAGCTCAGCAAGGAAGCGCTCCCGGTCCTCCCGCGTCTCCTCCAGCCGCTGCGCCTCGATCTCCGTGACCCTGCAAGATGGCAGAAATGCGGCAAGAGTAGAGGGCCATCTGTATGGGTTACAACCCTGCTGCACCCAACGGCAGCTTACTTTTCGTAAAATCCCGTCTTGATCATGAAATACTCCATGCCGGCGCCTAGCTGCAGGACAATGGGCAATGTCGGCCAGTGACTGGTGACATCAGAAGGCGGCTGCACATATTGGCGGCAGTTGCGACGGTGGCGGCGGCAGCCGCTCACCGCGAAGCAGACCCCAGCAACCTTTCCGTAGTAGGCCCAGGGCTGGCCCATGGCAATCCAGTTACGGTGTGAGTCTCAGATGGCCGAGGGAAGCCACCGCCACATGTCTCAGGGCTTGCCACTCCGGCCCTACCAACTGCAAGGGCTTCCAGACAACCGCCCAAAGTCCCCAAGGGGCTGCCAATGCGCTGATGGCCTGAAATTGCCCCGAATTGCGCCCTGCATTGCAAATTCCAGAGGCTTTCCTCAGGTCCCGCCCCGCTCGACCAGCGCGCCGCTCGGCCTGCCCACCAATCACACAACACTTGATCCCTCTGACCGGCGGGACCCAGCGTTTCAGACACGACAGTCGCCACTCTTCTCTCCACCAGTCCTTTTCTTTTGCTGCCAGGAACTTGAGGACCGATGGCGAGCAAGCGGATCCAAAAGGAGCTGCAGGTGAGCACGGGGCTGGGCTGCACAGCCGCCTGCGCTCGGGCAGGCAGTGTTCGCGCGAAATGGGCGGGCCAGGGACCTCCAGGCAGCTAGCTGCCAGCATGAGGCGCCAGTGGCAGGCAGCAGGCATCCTGGAAGGCCCGCCGCCGGGTTGATCAGCGACCCCAGGCTGCTGACCGCGCAGCCTGCACAATGAAGCCATCGAGGGCTGTTGGCGGGCTGGGCAGCCATTGGGGCTGCAGCCCAGATGCTGAGCAGAGAGGCACGGCCGAGGATAGCGGCCACACTTGAAGCCCGCCGCCAGCGACGGGCTGGCGGCGCCGCAGCTGGGCAGCAGGTCGTGACCTTCAGCCGCACCACACCCCTTTTGGCAAAACAGACACTGACCGTCGCCCTGTTGCGCTGCCCCCTGCCTTGTGTCCCCTTCACGTGGCGATGCACTGCAGGACCTACAGGTGCGTCGGTTCGCTGCCACGCCTGGCGCCTGTGGCAGCCCTCCTGTTGCTTGGCTGCCTGTGTGCCAATGGCTTTGCACTCGGCATGAAGTCTGCTCTGCATCAGGGAGCCAGCTGCAGCGCACTGTGTGTGCGCGACGGCGGCCTCCACCACTGCGCATCGCTGAGGAGGCTCCCCGGGAAATCAAGCCTGCACTAACTGATGCCCTTTGTGTTGCTGCAGAGAGATCCACCCACCTCCTGCTCTGCCGGCCCCGCCGGCGATGACCTTTTCCACTGGTGAGCTGCTGCCGGGCTTCCACTCGCCACTTGTCCCCCGGCGCCTCACGCCTCTGTGCCCCGCCGCTGCCCGCGCTCCCAGCATTCGCTGCGCACCCTGTGCGTCCCTGGTGCCACGCGCCTCCCTTCCCATTGCCTCCCTCCCTCCGCCTCAACCCCCGCGCAGGCAAGCCACGATCATGGGCCCCGGCGACAGCCCCTACTCTGGCGGCGTCTTCTTTGTGACCATCCACTTCCCGCCAGACTACCCCTTCAAGCCCCCCAAGGTGCAGTTCCAGACCAAGGTGTACCACCCTAACATCAACTCCCAGGGCTCCATCTGCCTGGACATCCTCAAGGAGCAGTGGAGCCCCGCACTGACCATCTCCAAGGTGAGAGCGCCCGCGTGCGTGTGCGGGGCGTGGGCAGGCGCGCATGGGCAGAAGTGTCTCTGCTCAGCCGGCTGCTGGCCGGGACCTGGCCGGTCTTTGTTGGTGTGCTGCGCTGCTTGTGCATGCTGTGCATGCTGAGCAAGGGGCCCCGTCGTGCGCGCTGCCGTCCACCTGCCGCAGGTGCTGCTGTCCATCTGCTCGCTGCTGACAGACCCCAACCCCGACGACCCGCTGGTCCCCGAGATTGCACACATCTACAAGACAGGTGGGTGGCAGCGGCGGCGGCAGTGATGGTGTGGGCGGCACTGTGCCTGGGTGGCACCATCCCAGGGCTGCGTTCGCAAAGCGAAGGGAGCGGGCGCCAGCCGCCGAAAGGGAATCGGAAGTGGCCAACAGGGAATCGGAAGTGGCTGCTCCGGCCAGGAGAGATGCTGCCTTGTGGCCGCTCCACTTCAGGGCAGGGCATGTTTTTCTGTGTTCAGTGTTGTGCTAATGATGAGGTCGCTGCCTTGCCGTGTGCTCCGCCCCTTGCTGCAGACCGCTCTCGGTACGAGGAGACTGCTCGCGAGTGGACCCGCAAGTACGCCATGGGCTGACGCGGCCGCCTGCCGCGCCAGCGCGCGGCGGCGGCGGCGGCAGCAGCAGCAGCGTTGGTGGCGGCGGCCGCGGCCGCGGCGTAGCGCTCCTGGGCTCGGCGCACCCTTGTCGACGCCCAGCTGCCCCGGCGCGAGAAAGCGGGGGTCTTCTGATGACGAGACCTCCTCCTTTCTGTTTTAGTTCCCGCCCCCGTCGAACCACACCGCACGTGTGCCGCGGTGTGTGTATCGCCGCCACGGCAGCAGCAGCAGCAGCAGCAGCAGCAACCCCCCTTGGACCACAGAGTGCGGGCCCGGCTGCTTGGTAAGCAGCATCTGCACAGCACTCACCCTGTAACAACAGTTCTGCGCTTTACATGCGTGCTGGCAGGCCCCGGCAGCGGCAGCAGAGTGCCTACCGTTGTGGCATTAGCAGGGGAAATGGACATGTGGATGAGGCACTCAAAACAGATATCAGCTCCAAATGAAGAGGAGCCAAAGCAACGCTGATCCTTTGCAAAAAAACATAAACAAAGTATGTTTTATGATCTTGAATCGGTGGTGTGTGTCAGCTTTTGTCAGCTTGCACAGCTCCGTACGGCTCGCCATTTTCACCTTGTATCTTTTTGATGGCACCCCGGCTCTTCCCTCTCCATGCCCTCCCTTCCTCCCTCCCTCACTTGAGTGCCGCCAGCTCGCCGCACATTGCCGCCAGCAGCTCCGCCTCGTGCGACAGCGGCAGCCAGTGTGTGGCGACCTCCACCTCGTGCAGCTGCACGGCCCTGCCGGCGGCCTGGCGCTCGCGGATAAAGGCCAGCTGCAGAGCAGGGGTCGGGTGCGGCGGCGGTGGCGCAATGGGCTTGTGGTTGGGTTGGTGCATGGCCAAGCTCCGCCCCCTCGATAGCACCAGCCCTGGAACGCCAGAGCGCCAACCGAGGAGGCAGCCCCTCGCCCCCCCCACCCGCCAGCGCGGTGCACGGCCTGCTCACCTCCTCCTGCCCATCGGCTGCCCACATCGAGCATGCCGCCGCGCGCACCAGGTGCAGGCAGCAGCCAGGTGGCGGCGCATCCAGCAGCGCAGAGTAGTCCTTGGACGCAAAGGAGGCCATCAGCTCGGGGTAGGCAGAGGCGTCAAACTGGCGCACATAGCCGCCGCCGCCGCCGGTACCGCCGGTAACGCCAGGCGACGGGTCTGGCTTGACAAAGTGGGCGCACAGGGCGGGCAGCCAGGGCGGGGCCTCTGCAGGCGTGGAGGCGGGGCGCGCAGGTTGGCGCCGGCCAGGATGCAAGCAGGCCTGGGGAGGGGACGCATGGGCACAGGGCAGTGCGGCACATCACATCACCACTCTTCTGCTAAGGTGTCCGACCCAGCCCTGCCCCCTGCCCCTGGCCCCGCGTGTCTCCCACCTGGCGCCCCGAGGCTCGCGAGGAAGGCTGCCACCGCCCGGGTCATGTCGTCTGGGGAGGGCATGGGCTGCGGCACCGACAGGATGGCGGACAGCAGGCCCTGCACCTCTCCCAGCATGGGGTGGTCTGCCGCCATGGGCAGCACCCGCGAGTCGAGGACCCACACCTGGACACCAGGCGGGAGGGTGCCAAGGATGGGACAACCAACGGCTGGGAAATGTATGTCCGGGGCAGGTGGGAGACGAGAGGCATGAGGCATGGGGCAGGAGGCGCCACCCCGCAAGGCGCCGGTGTGTGTTGTGCAGCTGCCGCTCGCCTGCTTGGGCACGCCCAGCGCCAGCAGCTCGGGTGGCCCGCCCTGCTCCGCGGCGCGCCCCAGCTGCTGCGCCAGCTCCAGCACGATCAGCCCGCCGATGCTGTGGCCCAGCAGCACCTCTGGCGGGCCCCACCTGCAGGCCCTCGGCCAAAGCAGGCGCAGCATGTGAGCGGGCAGGTGCCAGCAAGCGGCAGGGCGATGGCAACTCTGCATGCAGGATGCCCAGCAGCGGTGCCTTCAGCCCCATGATGAGCAGTCTGGCTGGGCACCTGCCGGCGTGCACGCCTTCAGCCAGGGTCCTGGCCACGTCAGCCGTCATGCTGTCCACGCTGTGCGGCGGGCCCAGGCCGGTCAGCCCGCGAGACTGCCCGTGGAAGCGGGAATCCAGCAGTACGGCTGTCCATGGCTTGCCCGTGGCAGACGCGGCATCGTCGATGTACTTCTGCGCCAGGCCTTCCAGGAACCTGCACCAAGCTTGGGGAAGGGTCGAGGTTTTGTGGGCTGCGCTGCTGGCGACGAGCGGTGGCGCCGGCGGCGGAGGGCCACCCGTGCGCAACCGTTGCTGCGCGCAGCGCAGCGGCTTGTTGGGCCAATGAAGTGCATGGAGGAGCCCCACCTGCTCGAGGTGAAGAGGGAATGGACGCACACGAGCACGCGGGGCTGGACGCCGTCGGTTCCTGCGCTGTGCAGCTGCTTAAAATGAAGACTGGGTGCCATGATGGTTGCGAAAGATGCTCCGACAATGGACGAGGCACGGTTTGGGAGCTCCGTGGGTGTCCAAACGTACAATCCGTACAGCAAGGCCCTGATAGTGGTTGGGTTTCCTGTCATGTGTGGGTGCCCATCCAGCCTAGGACATGAGCAATTGGAGTTTTGGAGAGGAGCGGCAGACTACCGCCGCCATCGCAGCCTCTAACCACACCACCGCCTCGTAAGCACAACAGGAAAATTAGATCGGGAATCACGGTACTGCATTGTCGCGGTTCGTGCAATAAAGAGAAGCCAGCTGTTGCCAACTGGCCAGCGCAAGCAAACAAATGCGTGGGCAGCGCCCCGGCCACAGGGACTGCAGCGCACTTCGCGCTCGGGACGGCGCTCAGCGGAGGGCAGCCGGGGGCGGGCCGACACGTCAGCTGCCGCCGCCTGAGCTGCCTGCTCAGTGCAGCTTCCCAAGGTCCAGCTTCTTCTTGATCGCCTGCTGCCCGTGGTACACCGTGGCATCGATGATGCCGCTGACTGCGGGGCAAGGAAGAACGGCGGGACAGAGTGTGTGTGTGTGTAGGAATCAACTGCGGCGCTCTCAAAGGACAGGCTGCCTGCCTGCCAGACAACCATCAATGAATGCAGGGCTGGCCAGTATTGCGCTCACGGCATGGTTTTGACCATCGCTGCCCCACCCACCCGTGAACACGCCACCGATGATTGCGCAGAGGCTGGTGAGGAAGGAGAGGAAGGAGAGGCGGCTCTCCTGGAACCGCACCTGCGGCGAGAAGTGCGGCAGGAGGAGTGAGGTGTGGCAGGCCGTGGGGCTGAAACAAAGCATGCACCAGGGAGGGGGCAGCACACAGCTGTGGCCAGCGGCGCCAGTTCTGGAGGTGCCAGGGCACAGCAGGAACGCCCGCCCCTCCAGGCTTGCCTTGATGGGTGACAGATCGTAGAAGAGGAAGACGCCCGGAAGCTGGCCGCCGCCCGCCGTCGGCGACGCCGTTTCCCGAAAGTGCTCCGTCACGCTGCGCGGGCGCAGGCGGGCGGGAGGCGACATTGTACCGGGTTTGGCTGGTGCAGCAGTGGTGGTGGTCGCAAGCGGCGGGGGTGGTAGGCAGAGCTACTCAAGGCTGCCCAGCCCTGCAGCCGGCCCCTCTCAATTCCCACACACCGTGACGAGACCAGCACCACCCGCACCGCACCAGTGGGTATCCCCTGCCCGCGTACCACAGGCCCACCTGAACTGGTTTGTGTAGATGGTGTTGTTGCGCAGGTCGGAGTAGGAGGTGGGCACCACCTTGAGGAAGTACTGGTACAGTCCTGCGGTACACATGGGCGGTACGGGTCGCACACAGCAGCCCAGGGCAGCGCGCCGCAAGCAGAGCAGCCCTTCCACGGCTGCATCTCCTGCACGCTTGCCCCCAGCTGGCGCCGCCGTCGCCCCCGGCACCCCACCGGAGTTGTCTGCTTCTGCCAGGCTCTGCTTCACCACCACGCCATCCATGGGGTTGCGCATGCCTGCAGGAAGGGCGGGCAGGAGGGTGAGGTGCGTGCTGTGGCATGGGTCCCTGGGTGGCATAGGTGGCGGTGCGGGCAGCAGCGACCCATGCGCTCTCTCCGGGTGCCAACAGACAGACAGAAGGTGCTCAAGGCCTGGCCCCGCGTGCCTGGATACTCGCGCCCAAACGCCAGCTTGTGGATGGTGTGCGAGAAGTCGAACGCCTGCCCCGCAAAGGGGCTGAGGTCGTGAATGTGCATGTTGCCCTGCTGGTAGCTGCGCCCGGGGGCGATGTGGAAGTTGCCGGCCACCTGCGGGGTGCGCGCGGCAGTGGTGGGGTGGGGTGGGGTGGGGTGGTATCAGTGAGTGTGTGTGCGTGTAAACGAGCGAGTGAGTGAGGGTGTGTGTGTGGCAGTGGGGGTGCGGGGTATACGTGTAAATGTGGGGTGAAGATCCGGGGAGTGTGCGTGAGCGTGAGGGCAATGGCGAGCGGGAGCGAGCGGGAGTCCCGCTCCCCGGTCCCGCGCCCCGCTGGTCCCGCTGGCGCCGCCCACACCTTGTTGATCTGCAGCTCCCCCCACACGTGGCACCCCTCCCCCTTCTGCTCGTCAATCTCCTCCTTGTACCTGCAAGGCCGGGCAGTACAGCAGCGGTACGATGGCGGACGGTGGCGCCGGGTCGGCGCCACGTATGCCCCGGTGGCAATGCAGCGGCCTGGTCCGTCCCCCAGAGGCGGCACCGGCTGCAGGGCACGCTGGGCTCATGCTGTGCCCGCTGCGCAGCGCTGGCCCAGACGTGTGCCGGCACCGAGAGGGCTGCCGCCGCCTCACCCCTCGTGGTGGCACTGCTCCACCTTCTCCACATCCAGCAGCGCCCAGCCCTTTGTGCGGTACGCGTCTCGTACCTGCACCCGACACGTCAGCGCATGCCAGAGCAGCAGGCATGCCAGCGCGATGCGTCAGCGCCATACCAGGAGCAGGCAGCGCACGGTGCCAAGCGCCCGCCCCGCAGCTCCGCCCCGTCTGCCTCCGCCAGTGCCGGCGTCCACCCCCGCACCCGCACCGCACCTCTGCGCATGTGTTGCAGCACTGCCCCGCCCGCGACTCTGAGCCGTAGCAGCTGCCGCAGTAGCCAGGCGCCTTGGTGGGGTCTGCCTCGCTGTCGTTGCCCGGAACGGGCTTGCTGCGGGGCCCCACCTCGTGCTTCACGCCTACACGCGCAGCGGCCGGCGGTGGCGGTCAGCCCGCGGCAGCATGGCAGGGGCAGCCAGCCAGCAACGCATGCGGCACGCAGCCGGCCTCGCCCCCGCGGCTGGCGCCCAGCAGCCGCACAGCCACACGCCTGCCACCGCCCCGCCGCCAACGCCACCCTTGCACCACCACCCATCTGCCACCACCACCCAGCCGCCAGCCAGCCCTGCAAACAGCACCCCGCCCACGGCACCCGCCCTACCACCACAGCCACCCCGCCCCGCGGCACCCGCCCTACCACCACAACAGCCACCCCGCCCTGGGGCACCCACCCTCGTCTAGGGGTGTGCCGTCTGGCGACAGCCGCCGCTTGTACACGTCGTGGTCCACCTCCAGCTGCACCTCCCCGCTGATGTCCATGGCGTCGATGGAGAGCCAGGAGCAG